GTGGTGGTGTGTGATTTTGGGTGGTGGTGGTAGTTGGGGTGTTGTCTGGCAAAACAACCCCCTACCTCCTCGCGGTGCTGGACGGGCAACTCTGTCGTGGACAATGCTGTGGGGGGAAGGCCAATTCCGATTGACCCCTCTCCTCATGGCGTCTGTGACCACCACAGTGGCTAAACAGGGGCTCTGGACGGGTGCGAGGGGCTGGTAACCCCTCCAACTTCAGAATTTTACCACGAAACCACGAATTAAAAATGTAACTAATAAGCTTGTGCCGGAGGCCCCGGGGGGACAGGCGTCTATGACGTCTCCTGGCCAAATCCCAATTGGCGGAGCCAGGAGATTGAATCCCTACTCTCGGGGCTCCTCCAGAAACAACAAAAAGCCACTTCGTGTGGCCACGTGGAATGTTCGAACGCTCACTGCGGAGGAGAGGCTGCCACTCCTCTGTCGGGAGCTGGACCGGTACCACCTGGATCTCTGTGGCATTCAGGAGGTCCGGTGGACCGGTTCTGGCTCCTGCCACCAAGAGGGGTGGACAGTCCTCTACTCGGGGCAGCAGACTGCCAAACAACAGGGTGTGGCTCTTCTTTTGAACAAGAGAATGAAGGGGGCGTGGCGGTGAGGTGTGGGAAGCTGTAAGCCCCAGGCTACTTTGGGCTCGCCTTCCCATCAACCGGAGGCGAGGTGTGGTGGTCATGGTTACTTATGCCCCCACCGAAGATGAACATCCGTGGAGGGATGCAGGCAAAGCCGATGAGTCAGATACCTTCCATGACCTCCTGTCACAATTGCTGGCTAAAGTGGCCCCTCGGGATAGAGTCATCTTGTTGGGTAACTTCAATGCCCGAGTTGGTCATAATGCTGGCACCTGGTCTGGAGTGATTGGAGGGCATGGGCCAGATCAGCTCAATAATAACGGTAGGAGGCTGCTAGATTTTTGTGCAGCCCATGGGCTTGTAATTACCAACACGCTGTTCCGGCATCGGCGCATCCACACAACATCATGGATGCATGCCGGGTCCAAGCAAGAACATCTGCTAGACTACATAGTGACAGACCAGTGGATGTGAGCCCATGTCCTTGACACCAGGACCTACCGTGGAGCTGATCTGCCCTCTGACCGTCGACTAGTCATCTGTAAGATGCGCCTGCCATTCTTCCACTCCGGTGGTGGGTGTACACCCAGGACCCCATTCGAACCTAAAGTGGCCTGGTCTCAGTTATCTGATGAAAGTTGCAAGTGAGAATTTCATCATCGCTTGCGGCTGGGGTTGGCATCGTCCCCCACTCCTCCTGATGTCGAGGGTAAATGGGTGAGGTTTAGGACTGTGATTTATACAGCTGCAATGGCTGCTTTGGGTACGCGGTCCAGACCTTCCCAGAGACCCTGGCTGACAGAGGTGTTCAGGATAGTTGAGAAAAAGCGACAGGCCCACTGTCATCGGCTACAGAATCCCACGTCAGAGAATGAGGAGGCTTACCGCAGCCTTCGTTCGGAGGTTTGGAGAGCCGTGAGGCGCTGCAAGGATGGGTGGTGGTCGCGGGTTTCTGAGGAGATGGAGTCTGCCTCAATGGCCCGCGATCACAAATCTCTATTTAACTCCATCAAAAAAGTAACCTGCAGCGCCACACCTATTACCATCATTAGGGGAAAAAACGGTGATCCAATCTCCGACCCCCAGGAACAGGTTTGCAGATTTGCTGAGCATTTCTGTGAGGTCCTGGGGGAGGGGAAATCCCTCAGCCAGGAAAACACCGTGGCACAAAGTGGGGATGACCCTGCTGAGGCTGCGGTGCCTCAAATATTGGAAGAAGTCACCCCCAGTGAGTGGCTGGTGGAGGTGCCATCTGTTGAGGAAGTACTGAAGGCGATCCTGAGTCTGAGACCAGGAAAGGCACCAGACAGAGATGATCTCGCAAGCGAAATGCTGAGGGAGGGTGGCGTTTGTGCACAGACTGCCCTCTATGACATCATAACATCAGTCTGGATCACTGGACGGGTTCCACAGGATTGGAAGGATGCCCTGGTGGTCCCCCTCAGTCTGTGTGGTCCCCCTTAAGAAGGGGGACCACACAGACTGTAACAACTACAAGGGCATCTCACTCCTCAGTGTGCCGGAAAAGGTCCTGGCAAGGATTATTCAACATCGCCTTGCCAGGCACACTGAGGAGAGGCTTGCGGAGCCCCAATGCGGTTACAGGAAAGGGTGGTCCTGCACAGATGCCATCTTTTCTGTCCGTCTGCTACAGCAGAGGTGTAGGGAATTCCAGCAAGACCTACATCTCTGCTTTATTGACCTGGTCAAGGCCTATGATACCATCAGTAGGCCTGGGCTCTGGGTTGTTCTTCGTGCTTTTGGAGTCCCTGACCCTCTGTTCACGATCATAAAGGACCTTCATGATGGTGAGCGGGCCCGGGTAAAACAACCTGGCCAGGAGTCAGAGCCATTCCCTGTACACCTTGAGGTGCGACAGGGATGTCCTCTGGCTCCAACATTATTTAACATCTATTTTGACCACGTAGTTCATGAAGCCTTCAATAGCTGTACCGGGGGAATCGCCAATTGGTACAGATATAATGGGAGGCTGATCGATGCCCGGGTGCGGTCAAGGGATGGCTCCCTATTGCTCAACCACGTTATGTATGTCGATGATTTGGTAATAGCTGCTCATTCAGAGGAGGAGTTGGAGACGCTGCTGCTGAGACTGGAGCGTGCCACTAAGAGATGGGGCCTTACCATCAGCCCCACCAAAACTAAGCACCTGCCTGGGTATTTTGTACCATCGAACACTCCACCCCCACAACTCCCAATCGGTGATGGGGCAGTTGTGGAGAGAGTGGAGAGTTTCCCATACCTGGGCAGTGTGCTTATGACCGGCTCCAGTTTAACAGCAGAGGTTTCATGCCGAATCAGTCGAGCGACAATATCTTTTCATCAGTTGCGTAACGCTGTGTGGAAGCTACCTGGTCTGTCGCTCCGCACTAAGCTTCAGGTCTTCTCGGCCACGGTCATTCCCTCCCTTCTCTACACTTGCAAAACGTGGAGCCCCCTAATGGAACATCTTCGCCAGTTAGAAACATTTAGGCTAGCTTGCCTATGATCCATCCTGGGTTTAACCAGGCTGGATTGTGTGAGGAGCTCACAAATCCTTGAAAGATCTGGGCAAGGTCCCATCGGTGAGCTCCTCCGGCAGGCAAGGCTGCGTTGGCTGGGTCATGGAGCCCGCATGCCCAGCCACCGCAAGCCGAAACAGCTTTTATTCGGCCGGATCGAGGGGGTTAAACGGGGGCGGCACAGGCTAGACAAGATATGGAGTGATGTGGTACAGGAGGACGTGGAGCTGAGTGGACTTGCCGATGACTGGTGCCAGCGGTGTCAAGATCGGCCTCTGTGGAGGAGGCTCGTGAAGGACGCTACTGGGAAGTTGGAGGCAGTCGCCCTCCAACAACAACGAAGGGGGGAGGAGCGACGCTCACAACAATGAGCGCAGCACCGGGTGGTTAAAGCACAGCAGGTTGGCACAGTAGGGGGCACAGGTGGTGCATCAGCCAGTCATCTCAGTCATCTTAGTCAGTCGACCCGTGGCACTTGGGTCTGCCCCGTGACCTCCTGCCAGCGGGCGTTCAACACTTCACGTGGCCTCAAGGTGCACATGGCCTGGCACAAGCGTTGTGGTGACGTCACCGCCACTTAGTGGCGAATGGCGGTTGTTGTTGTTGGTGTTTATGGGTGGTGGTGGTGATGTGTGGTAGTAGTGGGTGGTGGTGGTGGTGGTGTGTGGTGGGTGGTGGTGTGTGGTTTTGGGTGGTGTTGGTGGGTGGTGGTGGTGATGTGTGGTAGTGGTGGGTGGTGGTTGTGGTGGTTGTGGTGGTGGTACGTGGCCTCTCGCTCAGGAAGTTGTCCATGCTCGTCGCTTTGTTTGACCGTCGTGTTTTGTTTTTTGCTTGCGTCAAGTTCCGTCCCACCCGCTGAGAGTCGTGACCTGTAGTTGTTGTTGGTCACGTGAGGCTAGGTGATTTCACCGGGCACCCATTCCCCAGCCAGGCCGCTTCTGAAAACGGTCTAAAGAGCCTTCCCTGGTAAGATAAATTAAAAATATAGTTCATTTTAATCTTGATTTGAAGCTTTGGTGACTGCAGGAATCCATACCCTTTGGTTCTTCCGGTAAAGTCACGTGGGTATTTTATTTAACTTTATACCTACGTGACTTCACCGAAATAACCAAAGAGTATAGTCAATTTTGTTTTAGGTGACTCCACTGCCACCTCTCCTTAATAATTATCGACTCTTCTCGTCAAGGAGCGTAAAGCATCACGCAAATCCCGGTCATCCTCGCGGCGGCTTTTAGCCAACCATCGAACAAAGGCTGGTCACTGGATCGCGCGCTTCTGCGGCCGTCTGGAACGCTCTTCCTTCCGATATTAGGAAGCCACTGGGTAGATTGAAAACTCACTTCTCTTTAGAACCGCTTTTTGCGTATTGTTTGTTGTCCTTTCTCCCCGCACCTCCCGATTAGCACGGTTGGCTATGCCTGGGTGCGAAAGAAGTTCAACGTACGTACATCCACTCGGGGCTATTGCGCAGCTGCTTTGCTCAGATGTGGACAAAGTGGTTGCGGTCGATTGAGTTACGCGGCTTGGCGAGCGATCGTTACACCTGCCGATCGCTCAGGGCGTGGGACTCGTCGGTGCTTCTCGGGCAACAATAGCAAACAATTAACACAAAATCCATGATGTATTGGTTTTTGTGGGTTAGGTCGCGTAAATATAAATGTGTCGTTAAACCCGCCACCACCCGACACAGCCAATTAGTACGGCTTGTCACGTAAACAGAACGTGCCAATTCGTTATTAGTACAGCACACCAGAGCAAATCCACAACATTTACAATCTGAGTTGAACGGCACATTTGTATTTACTCGATCTAACCCAAAAAAAACCGACATTATTGACGATATTGGTCACGAAAGCTTACGTGTTAAATTAACACAAAAGTTTGAGATTTTAAAAAAGAACTTTTATTTTAATATAACCAAAAGGAGTATTTTTAACAACTTGAAATGGGTGTTTTTTTGCGTACATACAAACAGTGACGGTCGTGACGGTGATGATAACAATGATAACATAGAGACCGTGATAGTGATGGTGTTGTGCTGATGTCCGTTGACTGTGGTGGCAATGATATTGAGATTGTGATCAATGATTGTCATGATGATGGAAATATGACGGTGGTGGTTCGACGATTATGAAAGTGGCAGTGATGATAATGAAGATGATGGCATGGCTGTTGACGACGGTGACGATGTTTGGTTACGGCAGTGGCAATGATTGTCCAAAATATGAATCTTGTTTCGATTGCAGTGGCAATAACGCGTGACTGTGGCAGTGTTGTCGATCAGGCGACGTGGCCCTTATGGCTGCGGTGGTGACGGCGTTGCGACGGTGCTCAATGGTTGGCGGTTCCATACGGCTGCGGTGGCAATGGTGACGCAGTGATCGCTGTGACAAGTGCCGATAATAGTTTCAATTGCCACGCGAGAGCTCTTCTCTAAAGTATTGGTATATAGATCCCCACGGCTCTCTGTCCATTTACCTATCTGAGCGTCAGTCTTTCTCTTTGTCTGCATTGCTATATTTTCCTCTCTCTGTATCGTCTGTCTGTCTGCCCATCTGATCTGTCTGTCGATCCATTAGTCCATTTGTAAATCGGTCCATTCATGCATCCGTCAATCCACCTGCTTGTCCAACAATTTGTCCATATGCCTGTCTGACCATCTATTCATCCGTCCTTCTGTCTGTCCATCAGGCTGTCCACCTGTCCAACCCTGTATGTTTGTTTTTCTTTTCCACCGTACGTAGCCAACTGTGCTAATCGGAGGTGCATGCAATTAACCATCTGACCATCCATCCACGTTATCTTTGTCAATCGATCTATCCTATTGTCTATCCAGATGTCTACTAGCCAGTAGCTGTGTCCATCCTTCTGTCCATTTCGCCATTGCAGTCTGCCTGTCTCATTGGCTCTCTGTATCTCCTTCACAATCTGTCTATCGGTCTATCACTGGTAATCCACATACGTGTCCCTTAATTCATTTCTCTGTGTGTTATTCCATCCACCAGTTTACCCATCTACCCCTCCACCCGTCCACCCATCCCTCCACCCATCTACCCGTCCACCCATCCCTCCGCCCATCTACCCCTCCACCCGTCCACCCATCCCTCCACCAGTCACTACCAGAGTCCGAGTCCCAACCCCAACCTGAAGAACCAAACGGCCGGGTCCTGGTCCATCCCGAAGTCCCCCTCCTCGTATTCCTCCTCCTCCTGCCGCACCTCATCCTCGTACCCGGAGTGCGACTCGTAGTCATCGTAATCCGGCTCAGGTTTCGCCCGGGGTCTTCCAGGCCTCCCCCTCCTCGACGACGACGACGGTGGCGTGCGCCCCGGGGGCTTCTGCGGGCGCAGCACCACACTGGAGAGCGAGCGCACGCAGGAGAAGGCGGTGCGAGGCACGGCGCGACGCTCGATGTGGTTCTGGTCGAGCCGCAGCGTGACGAGCGCGGAGTCGTCCGGGTTCGAGTCGACGCAGAACGCCTGGGGGGGCACCGTGCTGGGAGGGAAGGGGCGGGGGGGGGGCGTGGATGAGTGGGTGGGTGGGTCAGTGAGTGGGTAGGTGGGTGGGTAGGTGGGTGGGTTGGTTAGTGAGTGGGTAGGTGGGTGGGTTGGTTAGTGAGTGGGTGTGCGCAGGGACGGAGCCAGGGGGGTGACACGGTAGACAATTGTCACCCCCGAAAAAAAAGAAAAAATCGAAAATCTGAAACATTCTGCTGTATAAGTGTACGACACTCGGTCTGGCGGACTCCGTGCAACTGCGTTGTCAGAGTGTGTCGCCAACCGATGGCGTCTAGTTCAACAGCCTGACTCTCTCTAAATCATTCTTGAAATTAACATTTGTTGAATGTCACCCCGGGCTGGAAATCCTGGCTCCGCCCCTGGGTGTGCGGATATGTGGTTGTGTGGGTGTGCGGATATGTGGTTGTGTGGGTGTGCGGGCGGATATGTGGTTGTGTGGGTGTGCGGATATGTGGTTGTGTGGGTGTGCGGATATGTGGTTGTGTTGGTGTGCGGATATGTGGTTGTGTGGGTGTGCGGATATGTGGTTGTGTGGGTGTGCGGATATGTGGTTGTGTGGGTGTGCGGATATGTGGTTGTGTGGGTGTGCGGATATGTGGTTGTGTGGGTGTGCGGATATGTGGTTGTGTTGGTGTGCGGATATGTGGTTGTGTGGGTGTGCGGATATGTGGTTGTGTGGGTGTGCGGATATGTGGTTGTGTGGGTGTGCGGATATGTGGTTGTGTGGATGTGCGGATATGTGGTGTGTGGGTGTGCGGATATGTGGTTATGTGGGTGTGCGGATATGTGGTTGTGTGGGTGTGCGGATATGTGGTTGTGTGGGTGTGCGGATATGTGGTTGTGTGGGTGTGCGGATATGTGGTTGTGTGGCTGTGCGGATATGTGGTTGTTTTGGTGTGCGGATATGTGGTTGTGTGGGTGTGCGGATTTGGTTGTGTGGGTGGGCAATTCTCTACTCGGGGCAGGGAACTGCCAAACAACAGGGAGTGGCTCTGCCTCTGAACGGAGAGCGCGAGACTGAGGTTAGGGGCCGTCCATAAATGACGTCACGCGATTTTGGACGATTTTTGACCCCCCCCCCCCCCTCGTCACACGGCGTCACAAAAAGTCAGACCCCCCCCCCTCAAATATGACGTCACAAAGTTCTGCCTCCCCCCTCCCCCCCCCAAAACCATATTTCCATTTTGAAAATCGCTTTAAACTATTGTCATTGTAGTGCGTATTTAATGCGGCGCTGCACTCTGATGCCGTAGGAGTGTTGTTATAACAATTCCATATTTATTTAAAGTTGCGCATTTTGATGTGACGTCACATTTCTCAACCCCCCCCCCCTCGTCACACATCGTCACAAATGTCTGACCCCCCCCCCCCCCCAGGTGCGTGACGTCATTTATGGACGGCCCCTTAAGAGATTTAGAGATGGAGGGAAGGAGGGGGAAGGAGTAGAGAGTAGGAGGAGGGAGGGAGGGAGAAGGTGGACCGCATGGTGGCACCGGATGTCGTTGTCGTTGAGCAGCAGCGTGCGGAGCACCGCGAGGTCGGCGAGGCCCAGCGGCACGGTGCGCAGGAGGTTGTGGTCCAGGTAGAGCTCCAGGAGGGACGTCTGCATGCCGTGGAACGACACCGGGTCGATCCCGTCGCTCGTGATGCGGTTAAACGACAGGTAGAGGTACTCGAGTCCCGGGCTCATGTGCGCAAACACGTATCTGGGGGGGGGGGGGGGTGAGTGGGAGGGGTGAGTGGGGGGGGTGGGGGGTGAGTGAGTGAGTGAGTGGGGTGAGTGAGTGGGAGGGGTGAGTGAGTGGGGGGGTGGGGGGTGAGTGAGTGGGGGGGTGGGGGGTGAGTGAGTGGGAGGGGTGAGTGAGTGGGGGGGTGGGGGGTGAGTGAGTGGGGGAGGGGTGAGTGAGTGGGGGGGGGGTGGGGGTGAGTGAGTGAGTGGGGTGAGTGAGTGGGAGGGGTGAGTGAGTGGGGGGGTGGGGGGTGAGTGAGTGGGGGGGGTGGGGGGTGAGTGAGTGGGAGGGGTGAGTGAGTGGGGGGGGGGGGGTGGGGGGTGAGTGAGTGGGAAGGGTGAGTGAGTGGGGGTGGGGGGTGAGTGAGTGGGAGGGGTGAGTGAGTGGGAGGGGTGAGTGGGGGGGAGGGGTGAGTGGGGGGGTGAGTGAGTGAGTGGTGAGTGAGTGAGTGGGAGGGGTGAGTGAGTGGGGGGTGAGTGAGTGGGGGAGGGGTGAGTGAGTGGGGGGGGGTGGGGGTGAGTGAGTGAGTGGGAGGGGTGAGTGGGAGGGGTGAGTGAGTGGGGGGTGAGTGAATGGGGGGGGTGGGGGTGAGTGAGTGGGGGAGGGGTTAGTAAGTTAGTGGGAGGGGTGAGTGAGTGGGAGGGGTGAGTGGGGGGGGTGAGTGAGTGGGAGGGGTGAGTGGGGGGGGGGTGAGTGGGAGGGGTGAGTGAGTGGGGGGTGAGTGAGTGAGTGGGGGGGGGTAGGGGTGAGTGAGTGGTGAGTGAGTGAGTGGGAGGGGTGAGTGGAAGGGAAGGGTGAGTGGGGGGGGGTGAGTGAGTGGGAGGGGTGAGTGAGTGGGAGGGAGGGGTGAGTGGGGGGGGGGGTGAGTGAGTGGGAGGGGTGAGTGGGGGGGGGGGTGAGTGAGTGAGTGGTGAGTGAGTGAGTGGGTGAGTGGTGAGTGAGTGAGTGGGTAAGTAATGTAGTGGGTAGTGAGTGGAGCGAGCGATGCAGTTAAACAACTTCCACGGTACACAAATCGTCACATAGGGTGCATCGAATAACACGCAGAGAGGCTCGCACAGAGACCACCCACAGACTCACACAGATGCAGAGACTCGCTCCGAGACCACCGTATGTATGTCGAACTTCTCTCGCACCCTACGCAGCCGACCTGCCATTCACGATAGCAGAGAAGGTGAAAAACCCAACACGTTTCCGGAATAACTTGGGACGGAGACCAGAGGGTGGGGGCTCCAACCGAGACGGCGCCCGCCCGCCGTGGACACGGCAGCGAGAGGCGTCAGCAGCCCGTGCACAAGAATCCCGGTGGCTCGTCGCATCGCGAGACAGGGGGGGACAGAGAGAGAGGAGAAAACCTTCATCCAGCAGCGGAGAGATCTTGACCCACGATGATCGACGGCGGCCTGGCGTTTTTCGGCCCCCCGAACGCACGAGACGTCGAGAGGGCCGGCAAAACAAAGCGGGGGGCGGGTGGAGGTTGGCAGGGTTTGGGGGCTCACCCGGGAACGCGCTGCAGCAGGTTGTAGGTGAGCACGAGGTGACGCAGCGACGTGGGCAGGAAAGAGGGCACGTGGACGAATCGGTTGTGAGAGAAGTCGATGGACTCCAGGTTCCTGGGGGAGTGGAGGGGGGGGGAGGGGACTAGACTCATCGCCCGATCCGGTAACGTGGCGTCTACGTGGCCACCGACCGGCTCGTTACCTCTGACCGTTGTCCGTCCAGGTCGCGCTCGTTACACACAAGGCGCTTGCCACTGATGAATACCTCGGTGACCTCGTCAGGGGGCATAAACCATCACACGCACTCCGGTCATCCTCGCAGCAGAGGCAATGATGGTGACCGCATCGCGCGCTTTCGGATGCGTTTCTACGGCCGTCTGGAACGCTCCTCCTTCCGATATTAGGAAGCCACTGGGGAGCTGTACAGCTCTGGTCGGTCCTTCCCAACCTGTGCCCTGCGCGGCCTGCGAGTCTGAGACCTGCAGGGCCCTGCTCAGCCTCGTGTCTCTGACCTGCGAGTCTGAGACCAGCACGGCCCTGCTCAGCCTCGTGTCTCTGACCTGCGAGTCTGAGACCAACAGGGCCCTGCTCAGCCTCGTGTCTCTGACCTGCGAGTCTTAGACCAGCAGGGCCCTGCTCTGCCTCGTGTCTCTGACCTGCGAGTCTGAGACCAACAGGGCCCTGCTCAGCCTCGTGTCCCTGACCTGCGAGTCTTAGACCAGCACGGCCCTGCTCAGCCTCGTGTCTCTGACCTGCGAGTCTGAGACCAACAGGGCCCTGCTCAGCCTCGTGCCTCTGACCTGCGAATCTTAGACCAGCAGGGCCCTGCTCAGCCTCGTGTCTCTGACTTGCGAGTCTTAGACCAACAGGGCCCTGCTCAGCCTCGTGTCTCTGACCTGCGAGTGCAGCCCGGTTTGGGCCTCTCTTCCGAGGACCTGTCAGCTGACGCTCTCACCTCTGCTCCCGTGAATGACCACCGGAATCTGCTATGAGGCCTGTGGTCGATCTCAAGAACCTGACCAAATACTTATTTTGCCACTAATGTTGATCTTGTGTTTGTGACTTTCTTCATCTCGATGCTCTGTGCCCCCTGGAAATCATTGCACATATCCCGAGTGTAGTTCTTTACAAACCCCCAGTGACTGTTTTCTCTTCGCCTTGACACTTGCCAAGGGATATGGTTATCTCGATAGCGCTGTGGTTCGAGACAAAAGCAACCGGGACCGAATTTCTACAAAATTTTGTACCGTGGCTTATTTTGAATTTTGGACTCGAAACAAATTCTGGAGGTGAGGTTGAGAATACATCCTCTAGAATACATCCTCTAGAATACATCCTCTAGAATACATCCTCTAGAATACATCCTCTAGAATACATCCTCTAGAATACATTCTCTAGAATACATCCTCTAGAATACATCCTCTAGAAAGCATCCTCTAGAATACATCCTCTAGAATACATCCTCTAGAATACATCCTCTAGAATACATTCTCTAGAATACATCCTCTAGAATACATCCTCTAGAAAGCATCCTCTAGAATGCATCCTCTAGAAAGCATCCTCTAGAAAGCATCCTCTAGAATGCATCCTCTAGAATGCATCCTCTAGAAAGCATCCTCTAGAAAGCATCCTCTAGAATACATCCTCTAGAATACATCCTCTAGAATACATCCTCTAGAATACATCCTCTAGAATACATCCTCTAGAATGCATCCTCTAGAATACATCCTCTAGAATACATCCTCTAGAATACATCCTCTAGAATGCATCCTCTAGAATACATCCTCTAGAATGCATCCTCTAGAAGACATCCTCTAGAAAACATCCTCTAGAATACATCCTCTAGAAAGTATCCTCTAGAATACATCCTCTAGAATGCATCCTCTAGAATACATCCTCTAGAATACATCCTCTAGAATACATCCTCTAGAATGCATCCTCTAGAATACATCCTCTAGAATACATCCTCTAGAATACATCCTCTAGAATACATCCTCTAGAATACATCCTCTAGAATGCATCCTCTAGAATACATCCTCTAGAAAGAAAAACAACCTTCAAATGGAGTCGTGTCTCGTGTTCATCGGTGGCTGTGTGCGTTGTCTGCACCCGTGGATCCCCCCCCCTCCACTTTTAGAGGATGTTTTGGTTTGGGCATTTCAGAGATTCTCCAAATGACGCCTTTTAAATACTATGAGCCCCAAAACCTGACCTTCACACACTCAAGACACCCAGGAGCTCAGCAGTGTCAGCTAAGTGTCTAGGTCATGGCCATTATGAAGCTCCCCCCCCCCCGGGCCCCCCCCCCCCGCCCCCATCCCCCGCTCCCCCCCCCACCCGCCCCCCCACCCCCCGTGATACTGAGAGCCTGGAGGAGCGGGCACCCCCCCCCCCTCACTTGAGGGAGATGAGGGCCCGCGGGTGGATCCGCGTCTCCTGTAGGCGGTTGTTCTGGAGGTGGAGGATGGAGAGGGACGATGATTTGTTGAAGACTCCGTTCGAGATCTCCTCGATCTGGTTGTCGCTCAAGTAGAGCTCCTGCAAAAACAAAGGCAGAGGCCCACGCACCGCGTGTACCGGTAGGTACACGCATCACGTGTACCGGTGGGTACAAGTGCCGCATGTACCGGTGGGTACACGCACCACGTTTACCGGTGGGTACACGCGGCGCGTGTACCGGTGGGTACACGCACCACGTGTACCGGTGGGTATACGCACCACATGTACCGGTGGGCCCAAGTGCCGCGTGTACCGGTGGGTACACGCGGGCTTGGTTGCGTCGGGCGGTGGGAAGGTCTTACGGCACAAGATGTGACCAGATATATTTACGTGGCCTTACACACAAACATCGAACATGAATCTTAACACCGAGTAAGACTACGTACGTTTCAAGATGGTGATGATGACGGCGGTGCTGGCGATGATTGAGATTATGTTGGCGGTGATGGCGATGATTGTGGTGAAGCCATTGCGAGCACGGGAATTGGCATCTTTGTCCAGGTGGAAGGAATTTATTTCACCCAATTCATTACACTCACCCACTCACTCGCTTATCCACTTACCCACCCACTCACTCACCCACTCACTGACCCACTCACCAACCCACTCACCCACTCATCCACTCACCCACTCACCAACTAACTCACCCACTCACCTACCCACTCATTCACTCACCAACTAACTCACCCACACCTACCCAATCATTTACCCGCTCACTTACCCATTCGCCCGCTGTCCCACCCACTGACTCACTCATTCACCCAGTCCTACAGATTTTCCAGGACGGCAGCTGCCTCCTCTACAAGATGATGACCCTGGCAGAACCGGGATGGGCGTCCACCGCGATGGCGACGTTCGCAAAGCGCACCGACCGAACACGAATCCACCCAACCCGGATCGCAACGGCGCGCGCCGACTCGTCTACACCATTTCGGCGAGGCGCTGCCAGCCGATAGGTGGACCGCCGTTGTCGTACGTCGAGCGATGGCGGGAGGCCCGAGGGGATGAGGCGGAACTTGTTGCGGTCGAGGCGCAGGTAGTGGAGCCCCGCGAGCGACGCGAACGCCAGCGGGTCCACCGTGCTCTCGCTCAGCGCGTTTCCCTCCAGCTCCAGCGTCAGAAGGCTCGACAGCGCTGCCAGGCCACACGCACAGGGGGCGGCAGTGCGGCGGCGGTCAGCGCGCTGCGCCACGGGCGTGCGAGGGAGCTTCGCACAACAACAAAAATGTCCTTGATGGATCTGGACACAGTCCCAACGGTGAGCTCCTCTGGCAGGCGAGGCCGGGTTGGCTGCGTCATGCGGCCCGCATGCCCAGCCAACGCGTGCCCAAGCAGCTTCCGTTTGGCCAGATAGAGGGGGCTAAATGGGGCGCGGCACGGGGCTGGAGAAGAGATGGACCGATGCAGTACAAGAGGATGTGGAGCTGACTGGACTTGCAGATGACTGGCACCTGTGATGTCAAGATTGGCCTCTGAGTTAGTGAAATGATAACACATGGGTTCTGTCCCGTGGGCGGCCAGTTATCGACACTTGACCTCAAAGTGCACTTAGCCTGGCACAAGCGCCGTGGTAATGTCACCACCACTCAGTGTAGAGTGGCGGCTGTTGTTGTTGTTGTCTCCTCACAGGCGAAGGTGCTGCGGTCGATGACCTTGAGTTTGTTGTCGTTGATTTTGAGCTCCTCGAGTGATGGCGGCAGTGGGGATGGGATGGTCGTGAGCACATTGCCATCGAGGAACAGCCGCTTCAGTGTCGTCACGTTCTACCGGAGTTAGAGGTCATAGCACAATCACACAACACATCGATCACGTGACACATCGATCACCTGACACATCGATCACACGACACATTGATCACAGGACACATCGATCACACGACACATCGATCACGTGACACATCGATCACGTGACACATCGATCACACAACACATTGATCACAGGACACATCGATCACACGACACATCGATCACACGACACATCGATCACGTGACACTTCAATCACACGACACATTGATCACAGGACACATCAATCACATGACACATAAATCACACGACGCATTGATCACGTGACACATCAATCACATGACACATTGATCACAGAACACATCGATCACACGCCACATTGATCACGTGACATATCAATCACACGACGCATTGATCACGTGAGACATCAATCACACGACACATTGATGACGTGACACATCAATCACACGACACATTGATCACAGGACACATCGATCACACGACACATCGATCACGTGACATATCAATCACACGACATTTGACCACGTGACACATCAATCACACGATGTATTGATCACGTGACACATCGATCACGTGACATCAATCACACGACACATTGATCACGTAACACATCAATCACACGACACATTGATCACAGAACACATCGATCACACGCCACATCGATCACGTGACATATCAATCACACGACATTTGATCACGTGACACATCAATCACATGACACATTGATCACAGAACACATCGATCACACACCACATCGAACACACGACACATCGATCACGTGACACATCGATCACGTGACACATCGATCACGTGACACATCGAACATGCAACACATCGATCACACAACACATCGATCACACAACACATAGATCACGTGACATCAATCACACGACATTTGATCACATGACACATCGATCACGTGACACATCGATCACACGACACATCGATCACGTGACACATCGATCACATGACACATCGATCACATGACACATCGATCACGTGACACATCGATCACGTGACACATCAATCACACGACACATCGATCACAGAACACATCGATCACACGACACATCGATCACGTGACACATCGATCACGTGACACATCGATCACACGACACATCGAACACGCGACACATCGATCACAGAACACATCGATCACGTGACATCAATCACACGACACATTGATCACGTGACACATCGATCACAGAACACATGGCTCACACGGCACATCGATCACGTGACACATCAATCACACGACACATCGATCACACGACACATCGATCACGTGACACATCAATCACAGAACACATCGATCGCACGACACATTGATCACGTGACACATCAATCACAGAACACATCGATCGCACGACACATTGATCACGTGACACATCAATCACAGAACACATCGATCGCACGACACATTGATCACGTGACACATCAATCACAGAACACATGGATCACACGACACATCGATCACGTGACACATCGATCACGTGACACATCGATCACATGACACATCGATCACAGAACACATCGATCACACGACACATCGAACACGCGACACATCGATCACACTACACATCGATCACGTGACACATCGAACACAGAACACATCGATCACGTGATATCAATCACACGACACATTGATCACGTGACACATCGATCACAGAACACATGGCTCACACGGCACATCGATCACGTGACACATCAATCACAGAACACATCGATCACACGACACATCGATCACGTGACACATCAATCACAGAACACATCGATCACACGACACATCGATCACGTGACACATCGATCGCACGACGCATCGATCACACGACACATTGATCACGTGACACATCAATCACAGAACACATCGATCACACGACACATCGATCACGTGACACATCAATCACAGAACACATCGATCGCACGACACATCGATCACGTGAAGCATCGATCGCACGTCACGTCGACGTGGCAGATCGCCGTGCGGTGCGACACCTCGAAGGTGCCGTCTCTGATGCCGTGGCTCGTGAGTTGGTTCCTGCTCAGGTCGATCCACTCGACGCGTGGGAGCCCGCGGAATGTTCCGGCCTCAATCACCGCAATCGCGTTCCCTGCCCACGGGACGACGGGAACATGTCAGCGCGCGTGGCGTCGGACGCGCGGTTTTCGCGGAGCGGACACCGCACGGGGTCAGCATGCCGTGAATGCACGTCGAGCAGCTGCCCCTAGCAGCAGCAGCAGCAGCGCCCGGTGCCGCCACGGCGCCCCCGCGGTGCCACGCGGTGCCGCTGCGGTGAGCTGTGCGGTGCCGCTGCGGTGCAGTTACGGTGCTGCGATCTGCCACTACGGTATTGGCACATTGCAGCTCTGGTGCCACTACGGTACGGCTACGGTGCCACTACGGTGCGACTACGGTGCGGCCACGGTGCAGCTATGGTGCCGCGCGGTGACCGCAACAAGTGGCCATGAGTCTGCGGACAGTGGGCGCTGATTGCTTTGTGGACTCCGCAAGCCACGTGAATCTTGCACGGAGCGTGGCTTACTCCTAAAAATTACGCCAGGGGACCTCGAGCGTCCACCCGTGAAGCAGACGACGCGTAGCATCTTCACAGTTTGCACACGCACACAAGCGCACAGCAGTATTATCAATAATGATCATAATTTACGTTCATAAAGGGCTGCCCAGCCAGCCGGGCCGCGTGGCCGAGCGACTTCCCGCCGCTCGAAACCGAGCGGCTGAGAGCGGCCGTGGGTGCGCCCCACTCCCGTGTACAGCCCCCAGGCCACTGGTGGAAATGGCACAGCTCCTATGGTAGCCGACTTGGCTTCCCCACAGAGCGGCGCCCGCCCCCAGAGGGGTGACTGAGCACGCAACCGCCGCCGCCGCCACCGCCGCCGCCGCCGCAGTCGCCACCTGTGAGGTAGAGCTGCAGCAGGTGCGCGTCGGTCAGGGGCGGCACGTACACCAGCTTGGCCGAGTCGCACGTCAGCGTCGTGTCCTCCGACTTGCACCCCCTCGGCAGCTCCGGCGCGGCCGGCGCGGCCGGCGCCAACGTCGCCCCGTCCCCGGGGGGGTCCTCGCCGGGCGGCACGAAACCCCGCGGCAGCGCGGGGGCCGCCGGCGGCCGCGGACAGCGGCCTCGCCGGCGGCCGCGGCGGCGGCCTCGCCGGCGCCGCGGCCGCCGGCGGCGGGGCCGGCGGCGCCGGCGGCGGCCGCTCGCTCGGCGCGTCGTCCGGCACGTCGCCGCGCACCCCCGCTCGCTCGGTCGCTCCGGTGGGACCGGCGGGCGCGGGCGTCGCCGGCGCCGCGGCCGCCCGTGCCGACACCTCCTCCTGCTCCTGCAAGCGCAGCTCCTCCTCCAGGTAGCGCTGCCGCTTCTCCTCTTCCTCCCGGCGCTTCTGCTCCCGCCGCCGCGCTCGCTCCGCCGCGTCCGGCTTCGCTGGCGGCGCCGCCGCCGCGGCCGCAGGAGGGAGCGGCGGCGGCGTCCCGTCCGGCGATGCTCCACGCTGGATTTCCGGCGCGGGGCTTTCAAATCGGCCGTCGGGATTCGGCGGGGCAGGTGCCAGCGCCGCCTTCTCCTCCTGCTCCTTCTCTCGCTCCCGCTGCTGATGCTCCCGCTGCTGCTCCTGCTGCTGCTGCTGCTCCTTCTCTCGCTGCTGTTGCTGTTGCTCCCGCTGCTGCTGCTGCTGCTCCCGCTGCTGCTCCCGCTGCTGCTGCTCCTTCTCTCGCTCCCGCTGCTGCTGCTGCTCCTGCTCCCGCTGCTGCTGCTCCCGCTGCTGCTCCTGCTGCCGCTGCTGCTGCTCCCGCTGCTGCTGCTCCCGCTGCTGCTGCTCCCGCTGCTGCTCCTGCTCCCGCTGCTGTTCCTGCTGCTGCTGCTCCTTCTCTCGCTCCCGCTGCTGCTGCTCCTGCTGCTGCTGCTGCTGCTGCTCCCGCTCCTGCTCCCGCTGCTGCTCCTGCTGCTGCTCCTGCTGCTCTTTAACGCCACCGACCTCATCGTCGGGTTTCTTGCGACCTTTCTTGCTTCCCCGAGCGCGCTTCTTCTGATTCTCCGCCTCCGCTGCTTCTCCGGTCTGCGCCGTCCCCTCCTGCGGCTCTGCAATGGCGGGGGGCACGGCCGCGGGTGGTTACTTTGGGGCGCGGGTATTGGCTCTCGCTTTGCGGCGGTGGCCGGTGGTGGCGATGTGCCGGTATGCGCCGGGTACGCCACACCGTGACCCCTCACATCACCACTCGTGCATTGCCACTGTTCAGAACACTTCACAGCACGCCTCTTGGCGTCCTCTGGTCTAACAACGTTTGAGACGAGGCTCAAAAAGAAAGCTGTCTCTGGTGTGGACCAATCAGTTCCAAAGACAATGCATCATATATTATCAGAGTATGTATTTTTTTTGTTTGCATTCTGACCACAAGTATGACATGATGACATGATTCCTTGTAAATGGTTTTAGTTTGGTGTTTTAACATCTTAACACAGCTGTTTTGTTGCCAGAAAAAAGGGGAAACCCTATTCTCACTTCATAGTCATGTTGAGTATGGTGAGGGTTAGAGGGTGTGTGGGTGTGCGGGGAGCGGTAGTGCAACGGTTAGCGAGCTGCGCTACGAACCCGGCGACCCGAGTTCAATTCCCGCTCATGGGCAACACCCAGTGGCGATTATCTGAACCGGTCCTGGGCCTCCTCCCCCAGGTCGACTCGGCCTCAAATGAGTACCTGGTGCGGCGTGTAAACATCGCCACTGGGAAGACAAAGGCGGCCGGGCGCGGTGCTGGCCACCCACCCCCTTCGTGCGCCGTGCCGGCCTTCACAGGCGCTGCTCGCTAACAGCGCTTGCCCCGACAGTCTGTTTCAGGCTACACGGGGAGACCTTTGTCTTTGTTTTGCTGGCGGCGGTGGCGACCACGTCACGATCACACTCTGCTGCGGCTCGTGGCGTTGGTGTCACCGGCTGTGCGTGTTGCGCGTTGCCGGCGTGCGACCGCTGCCGCTATCGCCGCGGTTACCGGTGTTCTGGCACACGGGGCAGCACGTGGCGGCGGTGCGTGCCGTCCTCTGGCAGTGCGGACGAGGGCAGTCCACCTCGTCGCAGGCGACGGCGCCGCGCTTGCACACGCACGTCACGCACGGCTTGGGGGACCACACGGACCCATCGAACATCTGCATCCCGTTAAACGCGCAGTGGCCCGTGCGGCCTAGCGGAGGGGTAAAGGCGGCGACATCGCCATCGTCAGTTTCATCATCGGTGTTATCATCATCATCATCATCACTGTCGTCGTCAGTGCCATCATCATCATCACCGTCATCATCAGTGTCATCATCAGCGTCATCATCAGTGTTATTATCATCAGTGTCATCGTCACCGTTATCATCAATGTCATCATCATCATCAGTGCCATCATCAATGTTACCATCATCAGTGGTATCATCGTTACTGTCATCATCATCAGTGTCATCATCATCAGTGTTATCATCAATGTCATCATCAGCAGTGTCATCATCATCAATGTTATCATCAATATCATCAGTGCAATCATCAGTGTTATCATCATTGCTGTCATCATCATGAATGTCATCATCATGAATGTCATCATCATGAATGTCATCATCAGTGTTATCATCATCAGTGTTATCATCAGTGTTATCAATGTCATCATCATCAATATTATCATCAATATCATCAGTGCAATCATCAGTGTTATCATCATCAGTGTTATCATCATTACTGTCATCATCATGAATGTCATCATCATGTCATCATCATGAATGTCATCATCAGTGTTATCATCATCAGTGTTATCAATGTCATCATCATCAATATTATCATCAATATCTTCATCAGTGTCATCATCATCAATGTCATCATCATCATCAGTGTCATCATCAAAGTACTCCTTTGCGTGTTTGTGTCGCCGCATGACAGTCATTCGTCTCGTATCACTTTGTCTGGGGAGTAGTGGCGCAGCGGTTAGCGCATTAGAGATGCCATTAGCATGATTTTGCGTTTCTTAAATTACTAGTTGCATTGCATTACATTCGTGCGCTGAACTACAAACCCGGCATCCCGAGTTCGATTCCCGCTCACGGCCAACACCAGTAACGATTACCTGCACCGGTCATGGGCCTCCCCTAAGTCGACTCAGCCTCAAAATAGTACCTGGTGTGCTGTGTAAACATCGCCACTGGGCAGACAAAGGCGGCCAGGTATGGTGCTGGCCACCCACCCCCTCGCAGCACTTAACCCCAATAGTCTGCCCAAGCTACACCAGCGGTGTCATGGTCGGCCTCCCTGAAGGAGGCTCATTGAGGACACTACCGGGCAGTGGCAGGCTAGGTGCACTTTGAGGGTACTGGGCAGTTGGAGGCAGTGGCCCTCCAGCAACGATGGAGGGAGCGACGCTCACAACAACGAGAGGAGCACCGGGTGGCTAAAACGCTGAAAGTTGGCGCAGTGGTGAGTACGGTTGGTGCATCTGCCAGTCATCTCAGCCAACCCATGGCACCTGGGTCTGTTCCGTGACCTCCTGCCAGCGGGCCTTCGACACTTCACGTGGGCCTCAAAGTGCACCTGGCCTGGCACAAGCGTCGTGGTGACGACGCCGCCACTTAGCGGCGAACGGCGGTTGCCGTTGTTGCCACCGCGTGGCAGTCGTGAATCGTCGCACCTGGCAGGACGTCGTAGCTGGAGCCGGTGCCGCCCTCGTCAGGGCCCGGAACGACGAGGGCCGAGATGACGCCCGCGTCGCCTCCGTGGCGACCGCGTGGAGCAGCGGAGAGAGCGGAGGGCGACCTGGGACGGGGGGATGAAGCAAACCGACACCGCACGGCGAGAACGGTGAGGTACGACGAGGAGAAGATTGGCGATGATGATGATGATGAGTAATTGATTGAATGTATTATGAAGACCACGACTGTTATGACGATCACGGTGGACGCTGATGAGTGGTGATGTTGATGAAGGTGGTGATGGTAACAGAGATGATGAGTCAAGATGGTGACGATGATGGAGCACGGTGCCAACGATGGCAATCATTGATGCTCAATTGTGGTAACGATGGTGATTACAGAAGCGATGGTGATGATGATGACGATAGCATTGACGCTCGTGACAATGTTGATGATGCTGCTGATGCTGCCAATGCCCACGGACGGCTCTGACGCCGCTGTCGCGTTAGCGGTGCTGCCTGACCTCTGTTGACCCCAAGGGTTCGGACGCCTCCGAGCGGAACTCTGGGGGGCTGCGCTCGCAGGGAGCGGGCCCCAAGCGACCACCGCCACCACCGCCGCCACCGTTACCGCCGCCAGCCGAGTGTCCCACATCGCCACGGGAGTCCGGCACTCCACGTGCTGCCTGCGGTGACCACAACGAAGCCTGCTCCCTTAGACTGCGCTGCGGAACGTCGCAGGATAAGGAATGCACTCGGAAATCTCGCAGACCGCGCTTGTACGTCCACCCTTCGTTTATATTTGTTTCTAGCCACTTGCTTACCGTTTCCCGATCTTGCTCTTACATCGGTTTTTTTTGTATTGTTTGTTGACGTAACTCGCTGACCCCCCCCCCTCCTCCTTCCCTCCCGCCCCTACTGGGCGTCTGTGAAAAATAGTTTCATAGCTAATCAGATTCCTCCGCCAGAATAAATAAAATATTAAGATTCTAATTCTGAATTTAGATTCGTTCGCCCGCGGCGAGAGAGCGAGGACGATTCCAGAGGCGCGTAAAACCGCGGACACGCGGGAAGGCAGCCACAACCGACGCCGACAAATGCCCGAGTTCTGTGGTCCTTTTGGCGTCATCTGGTCGAGCACCAATTGGGTCGAGGCTCAAAAGAAAGCCGTCCCTTGGTGTGGACCAATCAGTTTCAAGGACAATGCCAATATATTATCATAGTGTGTTTTTTGTTGCATTTTGGCTGCAGGTATTGTGGTTAATGCAGACATGAATCCTTGTGAAAAAGGTTTCAGTTTTGTTGCCAGAAAAAAAGGGGGAAAAACCCCCGATTATCATTACTGAACGAGTTGTTTATACACGCGGGAGGAAACCGGGAGCTCCAGGAGGAATTCCCACGCGCGCAAGCGAGCAGCACCCCCTATCCCGTGCAGACGGAACAGACGGAGGTTAGTCCACACTCGCCGTAAGCACCTTCTCCCGGCAAGCCAGGGCTATGGCACCTCGACGCCCACGGGGAAGGGAGTTTCGCGTCGTGTGCGCGATGCGCCAACCCTCGCTGTTGCCTCCACCGTGGTGGGACGCAGCGCTGCCTCGCGCAGCGCTGCCTCGGCTGCCCGCCCGCCCGGTGGCACGTTGCAAAGGCGGGACCACAAGAGGTGGCTGCGGGCCCGCTTGGGGAGGCCGTCATCCAGCAGTGGATTGACCATGGCTGCTGCTGCCGCTGCTGATGATGACGACGGCGGCGGTGGCGGCGGCGGCGGTGGTGAACGGAGCACGAGCAACGGCGGTCGTGAATTTTTGTGACTTTCGGGCAGCGTTCTCAGAGGCTACGGGAACACATTTTTTAAAACTTCTTTTTTTTTTAGCGAGAGAGTACAGTACGGGCAGTGGCCAAAAGTGGGTCGATAAAATCTCGAGAGGTGGTGGTGGTGGGGTGGCTCCTTTTCATGTTGGCAAGAAAAAAAAAGCCCATACTTCACCGCTTGACTTCTCGAAAGTGCCCTCCAACAGCCCTGTAAAAGGTGCCAGTGTGCTCAGAGCAAACACGTGGGGGGGTGGTGGGGGGGGGGGCATTCTACCACCCCCGCGCCCACTCGCCCACAGCAATATTCACAGATTTTTTTTTAGGTCTTTCGGTAAAGTCACGCAGATAGGTTCAAAGAAAATAACAAAAAACGACGACGTCTCGATCGCAACGCAAGCTTGTGTTGCGATCGAAACGTCGTCGTTTTTGGTTCTTTTTTGTTTGTTATTTTCTTTGAATCTATCTACGTGACTTTACCGAAAGACCCAAAGAATATGAATTCCTGCGGTCACGAAAGCTTTAAGTCAATATTCACAGACCCGGCCCAAAAGCTGCGATAGACAGAGCCCTCGCTTTGTGACCGGGCCCAACGTATTTTGGCAGCCTCCATCCACCACGCTCACAATTTCCAAGCCCCCACCAGCCGTGGGCTTTTTCTCTCTCTCTGCATTTTTATATTTTCACCACACTGGCACCTCGCAGCAAAGACAACGCCTGGCTTCGATTTACAACACTGGTGCCTCTGTTTGTACGTTCCCTCTCTCCTCTCTCTCTATCTCTCCACCACCGATCTGCATGGGGTTTACTCCGTGTTTTCCAGTTTCCTCTCAAAGCTGACAAGATATATATTTACAAGTTACTCAATTGGGAGTAGGCCTAGCAATATTGACCCCCCCCCCCCCCTCCAATGCGAAAAAATGTAACTTGGCAGGATCCTCCTGAAAAAAATGAGTCGTGACACTCATCTAGGCTTTCACAGGTGAACAAGCATACAACATTTACAAATATACAAAGCATTGGGAGTGCCTACGTTAAGACCAGAGGTGGATCTACAAACTTCACAGGGAGGGGGGTGGGAGACTAGGGGGGGGGTGGTGGTGGATGGGCACGGTCCCGAATTGTGGACATTTTTAAATAAGGGCCCTACATTTAAAATAGCAGCAACGTATTCTCTCTCTCGTAATTATTAGCACAGTACCAATGTCCTTGGGTCTCAAGGGGGAGGTGGTGGGGTGGGAATCGTGAGGGGGATCGCCCCCCCCCCACCCCCACCTTGGATGCAACCTCTTGAACTCGCCCGCTAGCCCGCCCGCGAGATCACCGCACGTGAGAGTCTGGTGGTCATTCCGCTTGGCCGGCTCCAACCTTGGATTCAAACCCAGGAACCCCTCAGTCGTTGCCAGCTCAATTCAGCACTCCACAACATCTGACCTGTACGCCACCCAGCAACCCAGCCACCTCTCTGGACTGTGCCAAGTTTCGCAGTTTGGTTAATTCCAAATGAGTGTACGCGCTTCTAGAACGTGTGCTCAAACATGTGGCTTGACCACGAGACGCGGTCATTAACACACTTTGGCGCGTTAAAGATTATCGTTGAATATTTTGTATTTATTTAAGCGATCTATACAAACGAAGTTAGTTTTTTTACGCAAGTAAAACAATCACACGAAGCGTGCGCTATATTTTATTACGGGGGAGAGGGGGGGGGGGAAATCGTTTTAAGAAAAGTTTGTATACGCAAGAGACATCCTTGTTGGCGTGTCCTTATTGAACACCCTGTGGGTACGTTGGTACAATGGTTACGATCGCATATCGAGACGGTTCGGCGCACACGAGGCCAAGTGATAATTTATTCGCGGTCCTTGTGGAGAATACGGAGTGAGAGGCTCCTTGCCGATGAACATCTTCTGGAAGTTCATCAGCATTGGTTCAAGCAGCCTCCTGATGGGGCAATGAACGTGGCAACCGGCCCAGAATTTGCTTGCGTTGGACCATTGCAGCTGGAATTATGGCCTCCTTCCAAGGCTCTATGGCTGATGGGATGTGGACAAAATATGTTTTATTTTTAATGTGGAGGGGTAGATGTGGAAAGGAGGCAAATCGTCCGTTTAATGAACACTGCCACCTGAGTTTGATTTCCGAACCACGGTTAACATTAAATTATCTCAGCGTCTCGCATCGTACCTAACACACATCTCTCAGCACTTGCTCTGCATTCTCAACGGACTGTCTTCACGGCAGCTTCACAGCCCCTGAACGCATCTCTCTTGACTCACCCCCCTCCCCCCCCAAAAAACCACCAAGCTCACAACACCGATATCCCACCAAACTCGCAACGTCTCGTCGCTCCACGCGCATCCCAGTACACGCAGCACGTCGTCCCATCGTCCTTACCTTTGTTGGACAGCAGCCTTCCCTTCCTTTCGTGGCCTCGAATCTTAGTTCGAAGATGTGTACACGCCTCGATGTTTGGTAAGTGCGCGTGCTGGCGGTGTTGGGAGGGAGGGGGGAGGTTTCAGCGTCGTGCTTGGCAAGATGCTGTCGGTGAGATCGTGAACTGAGTTCACAGTGTCTGGATTTCTCTCTACATCAACATGCCCTTCCCTGCCACATGGCCCAATACACGCGCGCAGGCTGCCAGACGACTTAGCATGCACCCAGATTTCCCTCCCTCCCCAAAACTTTGCCACGCGTTTTTTTTTATTTTTCCCTCCATAGGACTTTAATTTCCGCAGTGGGAACACCGCATCGAGTTTACCTCTCGCAATGACCAACTTCTATTGGCACGACGCCTGTTCCAAATGTGTTTCTCTTTGGGTGTATCTAGTGACATGCAGACTCTTAGTGAGGTTCGTTTGCTGACCTCATTTTCACATCAAGGAATTTCGTCTCTTGCCCATATCTGCACCCCCCCCCCCACTTAAGCAGGAAACGTACAGTATTTTAAACATCCCATCAGCCACACGACCCTCTGGGAGCGCAACGTTTCAGCAGCATTGGTTGAACGCACAGAGCAGACTCTGGGCCGGTTTCAACATTCAGTGTCTCGTCAGCAGTCTGGCTTTCTTGAACCAGTGCTGGTGAACCCGGTAAACATGCAACGTTGTCCATGCGGTTAGAACCGTTGAACCAACGTTACTGCAACGTTCCATGTTCACTGGGGAACTGCCAGTTGCTCGTGGACAAGGACTAGACTCTTGAGTTGTTTTGCTTACGTTGAACAAATGCGACTAAATTACGTATTCCCAGAAGGCCGTGCGCCCGGCTGATGGGATGTGTACAACGCAAAAAAAATACGTTGTCCGTTTATGTGGAGAGGCTGATGTGGGAAGGAGGGCGGATTTGTCATCCTGATGCATTTTGCTGCTTAAATCCTCCACAAGGGGGAGAGGGGGGTGGCGAGTACAAATCAAGGCGTGTATGTCTGTTCTCCTACACACGCTGGGAGAGAGGAGAGAGAGGCTGCCGAGGATGGGAGCGAGTTGTGAGGACCGGGGAAGTGATGCGGATTGTTGCAGGAAATGATGTGGTCGCTTCAAATCTACAGAGGGCAACAGCACCCAGCCCCACACTCGCCCCGCTCCCCAATCCCAAAGTCCGCTTTTCACAAAAAGCGCCCACAAACACAACCTGGAATTTGTTAGCAAATAAGCCTGGAATTTGTTAAAACGTGCGCACAGCCACGCGGAATGCGAGCCCCACACGGCATGCACGCACACACATGGCAGGCGCCTTTTATGTTTTTTGAGGCCGTTCGCAAACTGCACTCGTAAATCCAGAGGTGCGCCCGTTCGGTGCGTCACGGTGGCAAGAATGTTAACTCCCTCGCCTGGTGTGCAGAAGGTTTTAGGTTCGATCCCAACCCTGGCGACGCCGCGTTTGCGAGTATTTTTTGGCCTGCTATGAATGTCCACACGAAAAGCCACCACTTCGTTGAGCTATCATTTGTTATGGCCTGGTCGCTACAGAAAAAAAGAGACAAGACGTCTCAGTTGACCTTACCTGGTAACATAAAGATAATCTTGATCTTCTTTGGTTCTTTAGGTAAAGTCACGTAGAATGAGAATAAAATCATAAAATAAAATAAGACCATAAAATTCTCACGACGTTTCGGCCACGTCGTGAGAATTTTATTGTCTTATTTTATTATTTTATTCTCACGCTACGTGACTTTACCGAAAGAACCAAAGAAGATGAATCCTTGCAGTCGCGAAAGCTTTAAATCGATCATCTTGATTTGAAGCTTTCGTGTCTGCAGGAATCCATACTCCTTGGTTCTTTCGGTAAAGTCACGTAGGTAGAAAATAAAATAAATCACGACGTTTCGATCGCAACACAAACAATCGTCATCAGGTGGGACAACCACAGCATACTTCGACACTTTTCTCTTGCTGTGGTTGTCCCACCTGACGACGATCGCTTGTGTTGCCATCGAAACGCCGTCATCTATTATTTTTACCTACCTACGTGACTTTACCAACATGGAGATAGTTAATACAGATTCAATCTCTCACGGCGCGCAAGTCGAAAGAATGATGCACGTGGTCTTAATCACCCTCCCTAACATCCCTCCCATCCTCGCTGTTGAGCCGGCAGTCTGACGGCGTGCGCAACGGTCGATCGGTCGATGGCGTGGTGGTGGTGGTGATGGTGGTGGGCTAAAGTGTGGGTAAACCCAACCCCTTCCAAGACACACGCTGGATTAAGGCCTTCGTCCAGCAGCAAGATGATCATGATGGATGGATGATGAAGATGATCACATCAGTCGCACGGCCTTCTGAGAGTGGATAGACTCAACAGCAATCGCTTGAACGCAGGCAAAACTCTCTGGGGGCCGGCGATTGCACTGCCAGGTCACGTGGTGGCTGATGGGATGTGTAAAATATATAAAGATTATCTATGTGGAATGGAGGCGAATTGTGAGCTTATTTATTTTGCTATACTGAGATTATACTCAACGACGCGACTGAGCATCGTTCTGCTGCAGAGTATTGTTTGTTGTGAGTATTATGTCGTGAGTATTGTTGTGAGTATTGCTTGTTGTGAGTATTGTTTGTCGTGGGTATTGTTCGTCGTGAGTATTGTTTATTGTGAGTATTCTTTGTTGTGAGTATTATTGTCAGTATTTGTTGTATTGTTCGTTGTGAACATTGTTCGCTGTGAGTATTCTTTGTTGTGAGCATTGTTTGTTGTGAGCATTGCTCGTTGTAAGTATTGTTCGTTGTGAGTATTGTTTGTTGTGAACATTGTTCGTTGTGAGTATTGTTCATTGTGAGTATTGTTCGTTGTGAGTATTGTTCAATGTGAGTATTGTTCTGCTCTGCGTTACACAATTCCCCGTCGACCCAGGGCCCGTGTCCAGCAGCGAGGCTCCACGCCGGCGAGCACGTGGCCGCCTCAGCAGCAGCACGTGGCCGCCTCAGCAGCAGCACGTGGCCGCCTCAGCAGCAGCACGTGACCGCCTCAGCAGCAGCACGTGGCCGCCTCAGCAGCAGCACGTGGCCGCCTCAGCAGCAGCACGTGACCGCCTCAGCAGCAGCACGTGGCCGCCTCAGCAGCAGCACGTGACCGCCTCAGCAGCAGCACGTGGCTGCAGCAGCCCGGCCGCCCGGTCGAGTTGGGGAGTCGCTCCCGCTGAGCCCTCCGCTCGCACACCGCGTGCTCTTCGGCACGGCGTCCGACGTTTCGCGCTCCGCGAGCCTTTTCGGGGGATTCAATCGACGGAAGACGCTCCCAGAGGGGCACGTGGCGCGACATCTCGGGGACGCCGTCGATGACCATTTCTTACTCCGCACGTCGCGTTCGCGTGACCCTTTCCGGCCACTAGGGGCCGCTACATCCACGACGATGTTCACCACGTGGCTTGAACAGCTCCCGAGTCAGGGATGCTGCGCCCGGGGTGCATTGTCCTGACGTCCACCCAAGTTATAAACAAGCACCACACATCGGTGCAGTGGCACCCAGAGATTACTCTCGCAGTAACCCCTCCCTCCCTCCCTCCTCCTCCCCTCAACACCTCCCCGCAGCATCATCTCAAACGACGTTGCATCACAGTTTCTGGTTCGTCAATTACAGTCGACAATATTTAGTTTTGAAGCTTTCGCGACTGCAGGGATTCATATTCTCGGTTCTTTCGGTAAAGTAACGTAGAAGGGAAATAATAAAAAAAAACAATAACATTCTCACAACGTTTCGATTGCAACACGAGCAATCATCATCAGGTGTGAAAACCACAGCAAGAAAAAGTGTCGAGATCATCATCATTCTTGATGTGGTTTTCACACCTGATGATGATTGCTTGTGTTGCAATCGAAACGTCGTGATAATTTAATTGTTTTATTATTTTATTATTTCCCTTCTACGTGACTTTACCGAAAGAACCAAGAATATCGTTGTTAATTACCTGCCCAGTTAAATATTATCCAGATTTATACGTGCAAAAAATATTGTTTTTGTTGAAAAGTGTCATTCAATTTGAGTAGGTTTTGAGGTCAGAAAAGATTTTTCTCCGAGGAAGGCATCTCGGGTTATATAGTAGGACCTTTATATGGGGAAAATTGTTTTCGATATACGTAAAGAATGTTCACTCCACGTTCAGGTATTTCAATAACGCAAACCCGAAACGTAATATGGAGGAGGTGGCACGCCCGTACATCATTAAAATAAACTTACAAAATCCTACACTTCGTACAATAAGCCAATCAGACCCAGAACTAACCCGACATCCAACCCGACCCCCCCCCCTTAAGGGGCATCCAATTTAAACGCCTACATGTCACTTACATTACGAATCAGAAACGAGCTGTGTTTGTATATATACATCTCACGACATTGTCCCAGATGTCCGTGAATCACAACCCAAAACGCATGAGCCACAGGCATCCCAATCCTGCCGGGACATCGAGGAGTTCCACACAGCTATCACTAAATATTTCACGCGTCACTCCCGTCAACAGGGAGAGAAAGTCCCCTCCTCGGTATTGAAACCCCAGGGGCATCTACAAACGCAGAAGGCCCTGCTTTGACGCCTCTATTTTTAGAACCTGTGCGTTCTCCCCGTGGCCACTTGGGGGTTTTTGTGCTGAGTTCCTCCAGATTTTGCCCTGCACGTGTTGGGATGCACGCGCCGTGCGCGTTTATTTGACCGCTGCTATAAATTCCCACGTGCGATGATGATGATAACGATGATGATCTCGCCACCGCGACGAGTTCTCGTGTGTGGCCAGGTCGTCTCTGGAAGAATAGGCTAATAACTGTGGCCTTTACTTGGTATGAAAAAAAAGTTTTAGCTTCATATCAGTTAGCCTCTCTTGATCATCTTGAAATCGATGCTTAAAGGTAAGGAGGGAGACTTTAAACAGAACATTGGACCCAGCAGCAATTCCCTCTTTTCCTACCCTCTTGCGTGTTTATTTTGATATTCTTTGGGTCTTTCGGTAAAGTCCCCGGAGATAGGTTTAAAGAAAATAACAAACAAAAAACTACGACGTTTCGGTCACAACGCAAGCGGTCGTCATCGGGTCATCATCATGCAGCCAATCCCATACAATGTCAACAATGATCTCCGTATATAAAGACCCGCACGACCTGTCATGCCGGAACACACATGCTTATTGTTGGAATGTACCACACATCGAAAATGTGAACAAAAATAAAATCTGAAAGATAAAAAAGATATATAATTTAACACGTAGGCTTTCGCGACCAATATCCATAATAGGGGGTTTTTTTGGTGAGATAGCTCAAAAACTCACCCAAAAATTTACCCAAAACTTCTATTATGGAGAAAAGATAGTGGTGGAGATGATGATGATGAGACTGTAAGAATGGACAGAACCCCTGGTTCAGTTGAACGGCCTTTGAAAATCCATCAGCAGCAGGCGACCCACTGCTGGATGAAGTCCACAAAACGTTGCGACCATGTAATGCAAAAATAATCC